TAGTACATAAAATAAAATTAGCTGACAGGCAATACTACTTCATTATTTATGTTTGAAAAATATGCAACTAGAAAAAAATTATTGCCAAATATTTGAAAGGGGCTGCCTCTTGGTGCGTGATATTAACATCATCGTGATTTGGATTGACTTTAAAAGTTAACCAGTTGCAGATATTAATCAGAGTTTCATGCAAATCCGTCCAGTGGTTAATGAAATATTTTGTAACAGACAATACACATACAGAAGCACATGCACAAACACAGTGTATGTTAGTTCATACTTGTGTTGAGAAAAAAAAGTTGATTCCCAGTTAAAAGGTATCCTGGAGGATCACTCAATTTTGGAGGTGTTCCAATCAGGCTTTAAATCTAGCCACAGTAGTGTCTGTTCTGTTGAGTCTTTAAGATATTTTTATAGCAATGGATTCTGGTGATTCTATGCTTCTTCTCCTATTGAACCTTAAATCTGCATTCAACTCCTTTGACCATGAGAGCTTCATTTCTACGCTTGAACAGTGGTTGGGCATTACAGGGTCAGCATGCAAATGGTTTAAGTCCTACCTCTCCAATAGGAGCTTTTGGATCAATATCAAAGATTTTATTTCTACATTGGCAGCTCTTTGGTGGGGGTACCACAGAGCTCCATTCTTGGACCTCTTCTTTTTTCTTGATATCTGCTGCCACTAGGTTCTATTTTTTTGTAACAACTACTTCTTGTTGATTATTATTCTTACCATTCTAATTGTTTCTTATGTTTTTTACCTCTGTTGATCAACATATTCTTTTCTTGTTTGTTTTATTGTGTAGCACTTTGGTTGGCCTTATTTCTAAGTGCTAGTTTTTAATCCCTTTTCATTTTTATGCCAATGATGGCCAAAATTCCTTCCCTCTGAAGCATCCTGGTGCATGCTCTGTCCAACCTCTCCTTGACTACTTGGTCGACATTAGGGATTGGATGGCTTTCAGTTTCTTAAATTTCAATGAGAAGAAGGCAGAAGTCATGTTGTTTCCACCTAACTGCACCAACAGGAACCCCCGCATTGATCTTTCTTCCCTTGCCCCTTTTGAGAAAAAATATTGTCATAAATCTGTGAGTGAAAATGTACTCTTCTATGAAACTAAACTGTAATACAAACATGATTGTTAATCCTGATTTTTGTCAGTTGAGGCGACTGTCTAAATTGAAGCTCATACTGTCCAAAATAAACCATGCAATAGTAATACATGAGGTCAGAGGTGATAGAGCATTCTCTGTTTCTGGCCCAAAACTAGAACAATTTGTCACTGCGTTAGGTAACCTCCCTGTCTTCCTGTTTTTAAGTCTTGTGTAAAAACACACTTTCCCCCACCCTTGCCTTCAACTTAATGCAAAATAATTCTTGCTGATTATTATTCTTGCCATTCTAACCGTTTCTTATGATTTTTTTTTTTTTTACCTCCGTTGATTAATGTATTCTTTGCTTGTTTGTTTTATTGTACAGCACTTTGGTTGGCCTTGTTTCTGATTTTAAGTGCTTTATAAATAAAGTGGTATGTTACGTTACATTACGTTACGTTACATTACGTTACGTTACGTTATGTTATCTTATGGTATGGTATGGTATGGTATGGTATGGTATGGTATGGTATGGTATGGTATGGTATGGTATGGTATGGGGGTATGGTACGGTATTCATTCAACCTTTATTTAGACAGGTAAATCAATCAATCAATCAATCAACTTTATTTATATAGCACATTTTAAAAACCACAAGGGTAGCCAAAGTGCTGCACAATAAAACAATAAAAACAAACAAAACAATAAAAACTGTCATGAACCAGAGGCCGGATCGCAAACAACAACAACAACCACTGAGAGGGTTAAAAGGTTTATTGTGAAATAAAGTAAAACCCTGGAGT